ATGATGTAACTGAAGAAACAGAAAGATTTCCCACCAAGGACTTTCTGATCCCTGAAAGTTCCTTTTAGCATGAATAAAGCTGCCACACTGAAAGGTACAGGTTGTATAATTAACAAAACACTCTAAGCACTTCTCTAATCCAAGCCTTATTCAAATAAGCAAAAGGTTTTGCCGCCTTCTTCAAGGAGTATTGCAATAGCACTGGGCACTGCAGCTGGGTACAGTTTGGTACTCTCTGGATAGGTTGGACACTCAGATGGACTGAACTTTCTTTAACTTTCATGGTATACACATTTGCTTTATAATCCTGGACAAATATTGCTTTTCCTTTGAAGAATGTCGTGCATATCATGAAAGATTATTATTGTCTGAATTTTAGGAGTTTTTGAGGCACTGAACAATCTGAACAATATTAGTGTACTCCTCGAACAGGGCACAGTAACCCTTTGTTTATTTTCAGAAAATAGATCTGGTAGTGCTATTGATTGTGGTTGTTTTCACACTACACCTCCATTGTGCTGATTCCACTTTAACTGGCCTGGTTCCATCATGTGGGATTTGCATTTTGGACAGAGGTTCCAGAAAATTCTCTGGCTGAGGATTTCAAAGACTCCCCCCCCCCCCAAAAAAAATGCAGCTTTTAAAATTTCATAGGAAAGAATAATATCAGTTAAAGATAGGCTCCTTGCTTCTTGCCTTACAATCTAATGTAATTGAATATAATAGGTGTGTTCACCTATTAGCTTCAGGTGTTCAGGGCCAGCTCACTCAATTTCAGAGGAAGTGCACTCATGAGTCAGGGTGAACACTAGACCTCACAGGTTGGGGAGAAAAAGGATAGTGGATTGGATCACCCCTCTCTCACTTGGCTCCTGCATGGCTCCCACTCTCAGGTCCAGGTTGAGTACAGTCAGCCTACCATATCTACAGAATCAGTTCTCCACAGCTTGAAAATGTTTTTTTATGAAATTCAAAAAGCAATTTTATATGAGGGATGCCCTTTTACTATGCCTTTGTATATAATTGGACTTGAGTCTACCAGGATGTTAGGATTCACAGGGAGCCCTGGATCCAAACCTCAAGATACACCAAAGGCCCACTGCACTGAATGGGGCTTTGTCGAGAAACATTCTTCATTCCCTGAATGCATATACATGAAGATCCTAATACCATAGTAAGATATGATCCTTCAGATTTCTTCCATGTAATATATTTATTCAGATGTAATACACACCCTTTTTGGCTAAACAACCTTTCCAAAACTGGGGTGCACATTAGATTTGATGGCACAACACAATCTCACAATAAAATGTGGCTATTCCCCTTCTTCAGGCTGAGGCTAGTGAACTTGCCAACCTTGGTCTGATAGAGGAACAAGGGATCCCCAACTGATTTCATTCAGGCTCTGTATGTGCCCAGCTTGGAAGCCAAGAAGACCAAGGTGGCGCCCAAAAAGAAGTGAGTCCAAGAAGCACCTTAGACTACCGCCACCACCCCTTCCACTAAGCCAAGGATGGCAAGTTATGTATTATCCAATACAGTCTGCCTCCTGCTTGGATCCACAGCTGTTCCAATACATTGCGATGTTTTGGCGTTAAATTCATAAATACAGGAATTACTACATAACGTTATTGTGTATTGAACTGCTTTTTCTGTTGATTTGTTGTAAAACATGATATCTTGGTGCTTAATTTGTAAAATCATAATGTAATTTGATGTTTAATAGGCTTTTCCTTAATCCGTCCTTATTATCCAACATTTTCACTTATCCAACATTCTGCCAGCCTGTTTATGTTGGAAAAGCAAGACTTTAACTGTGTGTGTGTGTGTGTGTAAAACATAGTGGTAACAGCAGAAGGAAATTTTGGTTTACTTTGCTGCTGTGTGAAAACACAATGCTAGAAGAGAATATAATTGTCATAAACCTCTGTAAAGTATGCAACACTCATCTGGAAAGATAATACTGATCTATCAGTTGTGGCCAAAACACATGCTGTCTCTATATTTGCAGTTAATGCTCCAGATCAAATGCTTTCACTGCAAGGATTATTGATTTTCTACAGTTCACAAATGCGAATGGTCTCATCATAAGAGAGAGCATACATGTTAGACAAGACTGACATTTGACCAAGGGGCAGATCAATAACGTGTACACCACTTTACTAAGGTTTTGAAATACTGCAGTCCTCATCATGAACAGTTATCTTTTCTTGTCTATAATGTTAGATGTCACCTAAATCTACATGGTCCAGAACACTATGGCTGAAAGGTGATGCTATAAAATTTGTAGCATAAAAAATGCCTCTTCTCACTTTTCCCATCCATCAAATACATCAAAAATCATGTACAGTTTGGGATTTCTTTTCTGATTTGACATATTTAATTTATTTATTATTTATTTACTATACTTGTATACCACCTTTCTCAGCCTTATCGGTGACTCAAGGCAGTTTACAACAAGTCAGTTCACATAACAAAATACAAATTAAACATTAAAACAGTATCGAAGCAATAAAAACAATAAAAACAATAAAAACCAACATCATTATCATCAGAGTCTCCTAGCTAAATAACGTTGTCCAAGTTCAATTGTTGAGTGATTCCATTTCCTATGTCAGTTACTCTGCATTTGTAAACGCTTGCTCATATAACCATGTCTTAACTTGTCCCTGAAACATTAAGAGTGAGGGAGCCGATCTAATCTCCTTAGGCTTACTGTAATACAAACTCAGCACTGTGGACTAGAGTGAAGTTATCCACACTGGCAATTTGGATGTTACATATCCTCCCATCGGGGCATCCATGCATTCAGCATGAAACTCTATAAAGTTCGGCCATTGTACACAGAAACTCTTTTTGGGGAGGACCTTTCACACTTTGAAGTGTCTCTGGGAGCCTCTAGTAGCAAGAAAGCAAGTGGAAATCTCCAAGAACACTGCTGATATGCACCAAATGCCTTCACTTTGCAGTCATTAGTACTCCACAAATGGACACCATGGGAGACTATGTAATGTGTATAGCATTGGGGAGTGCAGGAGAAGCGATGTGGCATAACCCTGTTTTCTTTTCATGTGTTAAGATAAGATACATTTTGGTGACTATGGAGTGGGAATGACAGAGAGAGAGTGCAAGGTATATTTATTTAGTTTTAAAGTACAGACTACGTGTATGAAAACATATGAAACATTGACAGTGATAGAATATTTCGAAGCAATAGCTTGCATAATTGCAAGACATTGCTTTTTAATGGGGAGATGTTTATATGACCTCTGGGAAGTATGTCACATTATTATCTTTTTTTTAAAAAAAACCCTCAGTATTGACGTTTCATTAATTTGTGGTGTGCAGATGTACCAAGCTGAAGTAAATTTTCCCTCTTTACTTTTCCAATAGATTATCACTGAAAATTTGATACATATTGTTGTAGGGATCTTGATTAAAAGGGTGAACTTTGGCACAAGGCCTTGATAGTCACCTAGAAGTACTCTGTGTGGAGAAAGCCATTGCTTTGTATAGACAAATTTGCTGAAATGCAGAATTTCTTAGAGGGAAAGAAGGCTCTTGCTGGTCATTTTCCAACATCAGATATATATTGTGAAAGCACAGTGATCTCTCAGGAGGAGGATGCATTATTAATTGTGGGTGGTGTCATATTGTAGGGAGCAAGTGCACATGCAGTTTCACATGAGTTACTCAATCCATCATAAATTTTCTGTGGGTTCTTCCATTGTTATAAAAGATTAAACTTGGTATACTCTGTATCTTGTTCTGGCACAAGCTTGCTCTTTAAATAAATATGGTATGAATGGGTTCAGTTTTCAAAGTTGCCCTGGAGCAAACAAACAAGCACACCTTCATGACGATAGGGAGAGCACTCAAGAAATAAGAGAGGGTGTTTCATTAGGATGGCATCTGCAACAGGAGGGAAGAAAATTAGGGTTCATTCATTGTAATCTTTTTTCACCCCATGATTAATGGGCCCTGAGATCTTCAGGAGAGGCCCTTCTCTTGGTCCCACCTCCATCTCAAGCCCAGTTGGTAGGAATGAGAGAGCGACCCTTCTTTCTCGTTGTTTGCCCCTCGATTCTGGAGCTCCCTTTTTTCCAGGGAAGCCAGAATGGCCCCTCCCTGCTTTCTTTCCTGCAACAGGCTAAAACCTTTTTAGTCAGACAGGCTTTTAAAGATTAAGGTGTTTGAGATCTAGTCAGGGGGTGCTATGGTTGGATTTTTGCTATGAATTATTTAGTGCTGTTTGTGTTTAATTCTATTTTAATGGTTGCATATTTGTATATTTTAAATTGTATACTAACGCTTTTATGTCAAGCCACTTTGAGTCCTCTTTGGGGAGATAAAGCGGGGTATAAAATAAATATAATAAAAATGCTTAACAAGTATTGATGAACAAGGATTTCTTTCTCACACACACACATAGAAAAAACTGCAACTGTAATGGTTTCTGTACTTTTAAAATAAATACAAGTCTTCTTTTAGACAAATTAATTCCTTAAGAGTATCTTCAGAATGGTATGAGTTGTTAGACTTAAGCAGGATTGACAAATCCGCAGTTGGGTGAGTGCCTTTTCCTATCACTCTTGGTCAATGAGCATGGGGCTGACTGGAGCCAGCATCCCATTAAGATAGGAAGGCCAACATCTATACCAGAGGGATGTGAAACAATCTAATTTTGTTGCACAATTTGCTTTCACATTTTACTTTTACATCCAGAAAGAGGATACTCTTGCATGTTTTTGTTGCTGTCTGTCTTCACGTCATTTCCTATTAATGGAGTTTTATTGGCAAGCTTGGTTCAGAGAGGGGTTGCCATTGCTCTCCTGAGGCTGAGAGAGAGATGTACAGGGTCACCCAGTGAATCTGATGGCCAAATGCAGATTTGAATCAGGCCCTCATGAAGCCCATGGTCCTATACTCTAACCAACTGGCTATACGGCTGGGCACACTGCAGTTAACACACTGTTTCTTTCAAGAGAGAAGACATAAAATGTGCAAGAATACTTTATTTTTTATTTATTTAGAAATAATAAAATAAGACATAATATTTATATATATATTCATATAAAAATCTGTACAATCCATGATTTGTGCAGTACATTAGGAAGACTTAGATACAAAAGGCTGCAAACAGGAAAACAGTAAGGGAGAACGATTGTCAAATGCCTATTGGTTTGTTCACCTTACAAACAGCTGCAGGACAGAAAATCCATTTATGAGAAGAAGAGAAAAAGAGAGAACTCTTAGGTTGCCTGTGGGATGGCAACTACGCAGCACCCTCCTATCTTGAAAATGGTCAGCAGCAGCCAGGGTTTGTTTTTATTTTTTAAAGACATTACAGTACTTCTCAGTTTTACTTTGTAATCCCACACACGCACACACAAAAGGACACAAGAGAACCAAAAATAGCAGACCCGGAACCCTTTGTCTTTGCCAAAAGCATGTGTAATAAAATGAAGAGCTAACAAAAAAAGGTGATTTGTGATTGCATTGTACATCTATGCAGTGACCTTTTTGACTTGAGAACTCCGGACCACCAATGAAAAACAACAGAGTTGCACAGCCTACCTCGGATGTGCCCTCCCTATGTAAGACAGTCCCATAGAAAAAATAATGGGCCCTCATTCAAGTATTTGTAGGGAAGAGGAAAATTACTGCATGGGCCTTAACTCGTACTTGTGGCTTGAGGACTTAGCATGCAATCCACATTCCAGTGAAGTCAGTGGGAAATTTCCTATCAGCATTAAGTGGTTGGCGATTGCACCACCCAGCTATACTGCTCAACATTTTGCACAATTGTCCTTATCAGCTACTTAAAATATGCCATTTCTGTAGCTTCCCAATGATCATGGAACCTAGGCTTCCTGAGGCATGGTTTATTTGCTTGCTTTAAAATAATTATGAAGATAATTAAGGGCAGGTACCATGATATCTAGACAGATTAAAAGTTCTTGCTAACACTTTCCCCATGCAGAAGCAAACAGATAACTACAATGGTCCAAACCCAATTGCTCATCACAACTATAAGATGTTTTTTTTAATCCAATGCTGATTGGTTTGATGAATCTGCTTGAGATGGGACAAGCAATTGGATTTAGACCAGTGTTTCTCAACCTGTGGGTCCCCAGGTGTTTTGGCCTGCAACTCCCAGAAATCCCAGTCAGTTTACCAGCTGTTAGGATTTCTGGGAGTTGAAGGCCAAAACATCTGGGTGCCTACAGGTTGGAACCACTGATTTAGATCAAAGGGTTACTTGAAGAGGGGAAAAATCTAAGCCAACAGAAAGTTCAATAGCTTATCCACTCTCATCAAGTCTTTAGCAATCTGAAAGCAGGAATAAAGAATGCCTTAGCAAGGGGAAAAAAACAGTCAAATGAAACATCCATGCCTAAATAAATAACAAAAAACTCATAGCATTAGAAATCCCATAAGGCTTGCAAATATTTGCTAAAAACCATGCTAACCAGTAGCATCACAGGTTCTAACTGATGCCATCTTGGCCTTTCCTTTCTTTCTTTTCAAATGGACTTATATTTACATTTTGGCTTTAAATATGAAAATACTTGATAAACTTTATAAAAAGTGTACATTTCTCTTTCGGTTCTTTTAAATATGAAAACACAAACCCCTGCATGTTGGAAAAGAAAGATCAACAATCAACTCTGCATCAGAAAAAGAAGAAGAAATAGCAGGTTTTCAAAAGAAAAAAATCCCTTTCTGTGTGTGTCTATTTTTAAAACAAAAATATTTTAACACTTTCTCCACTCACCCTTACATCTAACATCTCAAGTCCTGCAAGTGGTAGCTTTGTGCATTTTGGAATAGCTTCCTCCCTTTTTTGTCTTAGCATGTCACTAAATACTCTTTGGTTTGCATTTATCTTTCTTTACAAAAATATATCACAATAGCAGCACAAGTCAGGTTCTGTTACTTTCATTGTTTCTCTGACCCAGAGGGTGACTGGGTTACCATCCAAATTCAGCTTGCCCCATTTTTATTTGCCTACACAATTAGCTCCAATATATGGTGCATCCATATCTGCCTTATGAGGAAACCCAAATAAACCTGTTTACATTTGCCATATCCAATTTTTGCAGTCCAGAACCCACCATTCCTGCTTCAATCCCATTTTCTGGGAAGTGCCCCATTACTTATGGTTGCCTCTTTCTCACAGGGCAAAACGTCCATAGATATTATAGAACACAACACTAGATCCAGAACAAGCTATTTTTAATGGCATACAGTGGGATCCAATACTGTAAAAGAGTTTCAGGTCTGAATCCTTGGTGATACCTTCAGTTCCTTCCTATTGGGAGAGTTTCCATATGTATAACTTTTGGGTGCAGCTAAAATGGTACACTTGATCTTAGAGGCACAGAGAATCTTTAAAGCATTCTTGGCAGGAGATCCAAAAATACCATTACAGTCACGGTTCAGCAGAAGGTCTCAGTAGCTGTTCAAAAAATTTGGTGAAGACTTGGCATCCACTAATCATCTCACCAAGTCTGTTCAAGCCATTAAAAAGTAGAAAAGGGAACTCTTTTACAGCATTATTTCCTTCAAACTAATTATCCCCTCAACAAGCAATCTAGATAATAGTAACATGCATCTACTTTCTGCCACACTAGTTCTGGCAACGAAAAAGTGTCCCGTTACTGAGATCTTTCGTTTGGATTTCTCCATGCCAGTTTCACTTTTCTTGAAATTAGCATGTTGCTTCAATAACAGACATTTGTTACAGTCTAGCAGTGATCCTTTCTGGTAGAATTTGTAATTTTGTCAGTGCTTATCAACATTAAATAGATTGAACAGCAGATGGATCCTGACAATACCATTGGTTATCATTGAGGGTTCAGTCTCTCAAAATGCCTGTCCACTTTGTAATGGGGTCCTATGTTACAGAAGCTGCTTTGGAATGTAAACATGGCTTAGCATTAGACTTTCTGCCATTATTCTGCTGGTGTTTGCTCCCATATATGTGTGAAAGATCTTTTAAATGTATCCTCAGTTTTACTCTCAAGATAAGGTGCATTAGAAAATACTCCACATGTAAAGGATCTTTGGGGAGGAAAATAGTCTGAAAACAACCTATTTAAATTAAAAAAAACTTCGCTGTGCAAAAGTGTGCATTTCTTTTCTCTTTGGTATTCACTTAGGTAGTTTTGAAATTAAAAAATATTTTAGATAAAAAATAAATCTCATTCCATTCCCCAACACATTTTTAAAGGGAATTCTCCCCTGTAGGCTATTGCCTGGCCTTGCGTTGCATAACATCCCTTATGTAACGGGATAGTACTGAGGGAAATTGATTCTAGCCACCAAACTACTAGCCTCGATAAAACATTTTGATTCTCCAGCATCACCAGTCCCTTTGACTGGTTGCCAGAGCACTGAAACTAGCAATTTCAACACTGTGGGTCTCCCTCCCACCATCACCTTTTTGTGATTGTTTAAAAGGATATATGAAAGAAACATGAATACTACACTACGACAAAAAAAATATAATTTTTGTTCATGTAGTTAGCAGCATCTTTTTTTTTAAAAAAAAAGTAAGGCAGTCTCTTGCCTTTGTTATGCCATTAAAAAAATTCTTGTTCCCAAGAGAGAAGCATTTTTGGAGAGGGAGAGAGAGAGAAAAAATAGATGACAAACATTACAACTCAACCAAAGCTTGCCTGCAAGTTCAAGTTTTGTTAAAAAAATATATACATTAATTTATTCTACAACATATATGTGCCATTTAGTCATGAGCAGACATAGTGCTTCTTGTTCCAAATTCACACATTTACTGTTTCTTCTCTGAAAACAGCACTTGGAAACCAGGCTGAAATGATTCCTCAGGACTGTGTGTCCATGTCTTCAACAGTACCATCGTCTGAAAAACTGTTTGTAGCCACTTCTCAAAACAGCATGCCTGTTAACTGAGAGAAAGATTTCAACCAACATAGAAATCACCTCCTTTAGTCATATTTCTGATTCTCGCCTCAAAGGCCTAGGTTCCAGGGGCACTCCTGCTTGGCTGTGATGGTCCATGTCTGGGTGGGTGTCTGTGCTGGTGCTCTCGGGCACTCCATTGTCACTGTCCTCCTCCTCTTTGCCCGTTAAAGCTACTTCATTCTCATAGCAAAATGAGTTTGAAGTAGAAAGGATGTATTTTTTTTCTGCTAAGTCTCTGGCACTGCAGAGAGGCGTGTTCGGCACTTCGTATGTTTTATGGAACCTAGAATAATCCACTTTGTAGTAGTTTTTCTCTTCAAATAGTACAGGCTCATAACGGTGGCCCCATAGGATTTCATTTGCTAGGTATGAGCTACGGCACTGAGTGGTCATGGCAGTGGCTTCCACCATGCCTTCTAATATTACTACAATTTCAAAGTCTGCATTGTCCATGTCTTGCTTAGAAAAGTCATACAAAGGGCTCTCTTCATCTATTTCATGGACAATTGTAATGGGTGACACCAAAAATATGCGGTCTATCCCACTGTCAAACCCAACATTGATATCTATTTGATCTAGAGGGATGTATTCGCCTTCGGTAGTGATTCGGGATTTGAGGAGTTGGGCTCTCACATGTGCTTCTACCAAGTGGCTTTTGCGCAGGTTCCCAACCCGCCACATCAGGCACAACTTTCCGTCCCTCATTGCTATTACAGCATTATGGCTGAAGATAAGGGTTTCATTTCGTTTTTTCGGTTTAGCCATCTTAGCCATGACAGCGCCAATTATGAAGGCATCAATGATGCAGCCAACTATCGACTGGAAAACCACCATGAAGACTGCAATGGGGCATTCGTCAGTGACACACCTAAAGCCATAGCCAATTGTTGTTTGTGTTTCAATGGAGAAGAGGAAGGCCGCAGTGAAGCTGCGCACTTCAGAGACACAAGGTCGGTCCCCATTCTCTAGGTCTCCATGCAGTAAGGCAATCAACCAGAATACACAACCAAAAAACAGCCACGAGAGGATGAAAGCCAGGCAGAAGATAAGCAACATCCACCTCCAACGGATGTCAACACAAGTGGTAAAGATGTCTGCTAAGTAACGCTGGCCTTTTTCACCCACGTTAATGAATTGAACGTTGCAGTGGCCATCTTTCTTGACAAACCGACTTCTGCACTGTTGCCTGGTGTGTACTTTGCTCTTCCCATTCCCAAAGCCATTGGCAACCGCCATGGTTGCCAGCTTCATGCCGTCCTCTTCTGAGGAAACTATGCTGTAGCGGTTGGTTCGCACACTGCCCATCGCTTCCGCTGTGGACTCTGGTGCTTCTGCTTTACAAAACAGTCTGAGTTTCTGCAGAACCCTTTGGAGAAACAGTTTTGAATGTTCTAGTGGAACACACTCAGAGGAAAAAAAGGGAGAAGCTGGTGCCTCCGTCAGTCCTTGACTGTGCCAAGGAGAGGGTCTTTGGATAGGTAGGTAGAGTTATCTCAGCAACCAATCATCTGCCACAAGGAGACATGGCCTGCAACAAGAGGAAAAATATTATGTGTTAGCAAATATTGTAACAAACACACCTCTACATTTCTGATTCCCCATGCCCAATATTTGAAAGTGCGGTTTCTAGTCTTATTTAAGAAGCCATGTTTATTCATTCTAGGACTGCACAATTGATCCAGTGCAACTCAACAGGCTGGAGAGTTAAAGTCCTCATCTCAACAGAAACTCATAACAAATGTCTATACTTTTTCTTGTAAATAAAGCCAATATATAAGATGTTGGTAAAGATAGGGACAATGGAATCATGCTAAAATTGGGAGAATGTGGGAGAGGCTTTTGGAATGTAATCTGATCTGCATGCAAAACCTGAGTTTGGAAACAATACTTTTTGACTGTATAACTTCCAGTGTCTCCAAGTCAGTATGACATGACCATGCAGTTTGGAGACTTCTATTATACTTATTTAAAATGTGGTCAAACTATGAGTAAACCAAGGAAATAAAACAATGCTTTCCAAACTGACCAACAGTCAAATTCACAAGCAGTATTTTGACTTTTAGTTCTGTCTCATGATTCTTAGACAGTTATCGAGATAACTTTCTTTAAAATAGAGATCGATATTTACTCTCCTACTTGATTTCATGTGGCTCCATGTCCCATTAGCCTAAGTTTAGAGAAAAAGAGCTGTCATCCAATGAGAGCTGTCACCCAATGCTTCAAGAAATAGTACTATCCTGCCACCTGTACCAACGGTTAATAGCTACATATTACATGAGCTATCAAAGCACAACTCATTTAAGATTCCTAGAACAGAAAATCCTTGAAGTGATTTGTACCAGTTTTTTATGTTCTTGTATCCAATTAAAGAGCCTTCTTTAGCTTGTTAAAAAGTATACACTGGGGACTGCTGTTATCATTTAAGAAGTGAGTTAATGCAAGTATTGTGCTGATTGATAGTAAGCATTCAATGTAAGGATGGTGGCTGAAAGTATTATTATTGCTAGTAGAATAAATATGAATGTGAACTTCATGGAAATCCATGTAAGGCCAAAGTTTTAAAGGACAGGGGGAGAACTGAGTTCATTGAGTACAAAGATAGTCACACATTCTGTGAGAGTTTAGGAAACCTCATCTCAAGACTAACATTTCAGAATCCCCTAGAAAGCATGTTGACTCACCATGCCAACTGGGAAAGCATGGGAGCTTTCAGCCAAAATAAGTACCTTCTTAAACCCTGTCCTGTTCTACTTCCTAAATAAAAAATGGCAATCCTTGTACTGCATGTCAAAACCAAGTAGTACAGAGTACCAGAGTATAGTGAGCAAACAAAATAATGGCCTTGATTATTCTCCAATTCTAGACAAGTAGTGATGTGCAACATTCTTATTCAAACCAGAAAACCCATCCATCAGTAGCTCATTGCAGCAGGAGTACACAGGTTTACAGTAATTATCCTGCACAATCTTATGCATGTTTGCGAAGAAGAAGATACAATTGAATTGCATGGGATACGCAATGCTATCCTGTATATGCTTACTTAGATTACTCACTGGGGTCAATGGGACTTATTCCTAGAGAAGTATACATGGGATTCCAGTATCCCCTCCACCCCACCCGCCACCACCTCGGGGCCCTTATTAAAATTGTAGATTTGAAAGAAAACACAATTTCTTTTGGCAAAATGAAATTCATTCTTTTAAATCATCCATCTCTCCATAACAATCTAGGTGATTTAAAATGGCAGCAGACAACACAAGATGCTGACCTCATTTACTCTCTCCTGCCTCACTATTGGGACTCAATTTGACATTTCTAAACTAATAAAAAGCATTTAACACTTTATTCTTAAATTAAGGAGGAACACAGGTATTGCATCATATAAAGTCCAATCCAGGCTAAGATTAAAAAAAAATAATCTTCATTGGTTCAAATTAAAAGCCACAGATCATCCAAAAGTAAAAAAGTTCCTGCTTAGCAAATCCAGTTCAGATCTTAGTATACTTAACCCTAAAAGTCTAGTATAGCAACCAAAATAGAACTGGATTTTCTTAGCACATGATCTCCAAAGAACCAGATGACGCTGTACAACGTTTTGTGTAATTTTCTGGGTCACAGCTGCATAAAGTAACCTTATATGTTAGGTAATTTACCAGATAACAGAAAGCAGATCTTCTCAAATGGTTGGAAATTGAAAGTCTAGCCAGGATATATTAGAACTCTTTCCATGGGTGCTGAAAGCAGTTTCAGATGGGTAACATTCTCCTGAAATTAATCACCAGCATGCTTTTTATTTCATCATATCTTTTGGCAGCTTCCAACGATCAAATTTTCTACAAAGATGGCCTTGCTCATCTAGCAAAAGATAACATTACAGGATGAAGTATTTTATATTGATTTGACAAAGAGAAGGATAATTCTGCTTCTTTCATTACACCCCACTCCTTCCCCACAACAATTCATGTTCTTATCATGAATATGGAAAATTTGGCTGTTTGGAAGGTTTAGGGGATCTATCCTTAGGTTCACCATAATTGGAAGCTAGATTGATGAGGTATGGGTGGTGCAGTGAGTTAAACCACTGAGCTGCTGAACTTGCTGACTGAAAGATTGGCGCCTTGAATCCGGGGAGTGGGGTGAGCTCCCACTGTTAGTCCCAGCTTCTGCCAACCCAGCAGTTCAAAAACAAGCAAATGTGAGTAGATCAATGAGCACCACCTCAGCGGGAAGGTAACAGCACTCCATGCAGTCATGCTGGCCACATGACCTTGAAGGTGTCTATGGATACCCCTGGCTCTTCGACTTAGAAATTGAGATAAGCACCACCCCCAGAGTTGGACATGACTAGACTTATTGTCAAGGGGAAACATTTATCTTTACCTTAAGAGATATAAATGCAATAATTTGTTTAAAAGAATATTTGAGGAGAGGGGGGGGGTTATATATAAAGTTTTATTTATTTATATCCCATCTGCATTGATCTGGTTCAATAGCCACATACCTTTCCAGCAGGAATAGGTCCATGTTTCAATAGCTTGCCATCCTGATATTTAAGATAAGGTATATCCTGAAAAAGCTGTCAATTCTAATTCAGTGGTGAAATTTGCTAGGTTGAAGCAGACACTTAAAAGTCAAAACTCTCAATGCGTGGCAAAACAAATCTATTGGCATTGGTTTCTTCCACATTCAATTAAAAACAACTGTCAACTCAAGCTCTCTCTATTCTGAATGTGCAAAATAAATTCAGTTTAGCCAGATTCTTATCAAAGCTGGACTGAAATAGGATTCTCAACAATTCTAGTTTGAAATTTGTTTTCAAGGCAGTAACTCAGTTTTCCATGAACTGGTTTCTAGTTCAGCCAGTATATAACCCTATAAATCAAAACTACTTTCAGTGTCAATTTGCATTATTTTGCTTTTGGCTTATACATAAGCTTAAAAGAGCTGCATAAAAATGTGTTATATTCCTAATAATATATTCTATCCCAATTAAAAAGTTAACCAAAGGACAGTTCTATTGGTTTGCAAACTGTTCCTTGCCAGGAACCTCATTTTATAATCAATATCATGTTGCACCTTCATGTTCAAATTGTTTTTGTATGCCATGCAGTCTGGGGTTAATTTTCCTTGGATTTAAAAGACGAAAACAGACCAGTTATAAAATCTGAAAGGATGTCTATATGAGACTTTCCAAAACCACCTTGACCTCTGGGCTCTGGATCAAATTCCAAGCATCACTCAAACATAATACCAGCTTCCTATGAAATGCTTGCTCAATTTAGAAGCCTTGAAATAGCACTGAGTACCTATTATTGGCAGATTTCCATTACCAGTTATAGTAATTGTTCCATATGTTCTACATTTGCATGGTATTATTATCTAATAGAGTTTCACCACTTGCCACTTGCACAGATTGGTTAAATGATTTAAAAAAAAAAAGAGCCCGGGGTACTGCTTTTTCCATTATTTATAGACTGTATCTAGAAGTTTGTGCAACAAAGCTCTAGTTTACCACACACACACACCGCCAGCCTTGGTTGCAGGATAACTATATTTGCTATTTAAAATGCACAAATTGCCCAGGTCTTCTTTAAGTAACTAGGATACAAGCAAAGGAGGTGGGGCAGCTGGTTAACATTCACAGCAAATCTCCAGGCAAAGGTGATAAATCCCCATAAGCAGATGCAGAAATCAATCCTACCAAGTATATGGCAGAATATGTTCTAGGCATCAGGGCCTGGAAATATCTGAGAGAGATCCACATCGCTCTTTTACATGCATGATTTTTTTGAGTGATGACTACACAAAAACAAGGCTACAGCGTCACACAGGTTACGGTTCCGTTCCAAACCTACAACACAGACATAGAATCTGGGATGTGCCAGTCTCTTGTAAAAAAGATCCTAAAGCTCTAGTAGTAAAATGATCCTTTCTTAGTCCCTGGGGATTCTCAACTCTCCCTCCCTTTCTCTGCCATCTGTCTGTCATGCACGTGTGCCTGCACACACAGACCTTCTTGTAGTAATGTAGACGTCCCATCAGCCTCTCTTTGCAAAACACATTGGCTACACACACCAGTTATGGGCAAACTTTGGGCCTCCAGGTGTTTTGGACTTCAACTACCACCATTCCTAACACCCTCAGGCCCCTTCTTTTTCCCCTTCAGCCACTTAAGTGGCTGAAGGGGAAAATGAAAGGGCCTGAGGCTGTTAGAAATTGTGGGAGTTGAAGTCCAAAACACCTAGAGGCCCAAAGTTTGCCCATGCCTGCTACACACAGAAGAACTACCAAATGCCTCTAGGGCCTACTCATTTCCCACAGAACAAGTGTATACCGTATATTCCGGCATATAAGACGACTGGGCGTATAAGACGACCCCCAACTTTTCCAGTTAAAATATAGAGTTAAGACGACTCCCATGCATAAAACTACACCCACGTATAAGACAACCCCTGACTTTTGAGAAGATTTTCTTGGGTTAAAAAGTAGTCTTATACGCCAGAATATACTGTAAGTCCCAAGGGTCTAGCCAAAGTCTGCCTTTCTCTCTATTACACCATCCTTATGCTTCCAACCTGTTTTTACATCTATCCACCACCAGTGGATTTACATCTATCCACCACCACATTCGATTTGAAGAGAAATCAGTGTTGTAACCCACCTGCTACAACACTGTATTACAGATCTGGCTTTCCCAAAAGCTTAGGACCAGTTGCGGACAAAGTTACAACAATGTGTCTCTGGAAGATGCTCAGTACATGATCTTAATCTCTGCTTCCTCCTAAAGGAAAGTCAACATTTCCTTCTATAAACAAGCACACAGGTACTACTGTTTTTTAAAACCAACAGAATTGGTGGGTTATGAGCCTGACCAAGCTCTACCTCAAAAAAAGCACTGGAGTACAAGCACACTGAATGGCTGAAAATTACTCTGACAAAGGAGTATAAATGAATTGGGTTGCTGTGAGTTTTCTGGGCTGTATGGCCCTGTTCCTTAAAGCACTCTCTCCTGATGTTTCACCAGCATCTATGGCAGGCATCCTCAAGGTTGTGAGGTCCTCACAACTTCTGAGGATGCCTGCCATAGATGCAGGTGAAACGTCAGGAGAAAATGCTTTGGGAATATGGACATACAGCCCAGAAAACTCACAACCCAGGGATTCCAGCTATGAAAGTCTTTAACAATACGTATGAATGAATTGTTTATTGTACTAGCCATAGGCCATGACATAAAATAATATACAACCTTTAAAAGTACAATAAGCACTTATTCTATACACTGGCTCTTTAAGATTACAGTAGCAGTGTCATGATAACAATAACAACTGACAAAGGAGTAGGAGACAAGCAAGGTCAATGCATGTGTAATGATCAGAGATCTGAGGTGTCAAAAGGACCAGGAGAAAGAGCAAAAGAAAGAGTTTGCTAATGAGCACATAGCAGCAATTCCCCAGTTGACACTGCACGGTTCTGCTGAGGCTGTTCAAGGCACAGGTTGCTAAGGTGAACCTAACTGCTACCTTCCTGTGCCTTGGGTAAACAGAATGGCTGGGAGCCAGAGCGCAAATCAATGATGGGAGCGTGCCTTCCTCTTCCATTTGTTCAGCAACCTTCTCAATCTTCCGTTACTGATGGGCTATTAATTTCAACTCCATTTTTTTTGCCCCACTGTTTTTTGTGAAGCTGCACAGCAAAGAATCCCCAAGAGTTTAACTTGGATGCAATCCAAGTCCCCCCTCCCAATATGTAAATAATCCGAATTGATTTAAAAAACAAAAACAAAAAACCTTTAAAATCAGGTCAGTAAATAAAGAACAACACTAAAAAACAGGGAAATTCCAGACAAGAACCAATCAGGGCCAGATACTGCCTCCTAACAAAGAGTCCCCCCAGGCAGCAATTAGCCAGGCTTTGAAGCTGCAAGGCTATTCAGTGCTAATCAAGGTGGCCATTTGCAACAATCACAATTGCATCAAACAGACAAGAGTTCTTTCTCCCATTCTGGACATTCCACAGGTATATAAACCTCACTTGCCTGGTTTCCAACAGACCTCACAACCTCTGAGGATGCCGATGAAATGTCAGGAGAGAATGCTTCTGGAACATGGCCATACAGCCCGGAAAACTTACAGCAACCCAGTGATTCTGGCCACAAAAGCCTTCAACAACACAATAACAAAAAACAGAAAGTGGAAATGCCTACATTTCCACTTTCAGATTTTTTGTTGTCTTTTGAGGAAGGTTTTTGATCCAATTGATTGCAGGAGATGTTGACAGACAGGGTCTTCACGAAGAAGTGTCACTCAAATGCCACTTCTCTGGATGGAAAAGCAAAGGAGTGTTGAAAGAGAAGAAGCAGAATACAAAACAATACGCAAAGCTAGAAGATGGGTGGAAGAAACCTGGCGAAAGTGGAATATTGGAAAGATTGGGCATGATAGGGAGGAAATATCTGGTTTATTTATTTCTCCCCAGAATGGCTCAGCTGCAGGAGCTGCTCACATTCCAGCTACAGCACAAACTATTTTCAGATGGCAAAGTCTCTGAGGGGCTGAAAGCAGAGCCAGAATGATTAGTTCTCGATTTGATTGTATTTAAAAAAGAAGGAAGGAGCTGGGAGAGGAAACTCTGACGAAGCAAACGAAAGTGATGCAATTTCTTTACCAATCTTTGGCATCTTGGAAAAGGGGGTAAGAATAGTAACTCAAGTGGAGGCTTCTAAATAAAAGGGGGAAGAACCCACAAGTGTATTGTAGAAGGCTTTCATGGCCGGAATCACTGGGCTGTTGTGAGTTTTCCAAGCTGTATAGCCATGTTCCAGAAGCATTATCTCCTGACATTTCACCTGCATCTATGGCAGGCATCCCCAGAGGTTGTGAGGTTTAGGTTGCTTTGTACTAGCATGAAGCTGTGTCCAATTGCCTCAAGCAGACAAGACTTCTTTCTCCCACCCTGGACTTTCCACAGATATATAAAACCCCATTTTCCTAGTTTCCAACAGATCTCACAACCTCTGAGGATGCCTGTATTGTCTAAGGCTCTCATGGCTGGACTCATTAGGTTGTTGTGAGTTTTTCAGGTTGTAAGGCCATGTTCCAGAAGCATTCTCTCCTGAGCCTCACAACCTCTGAGGACCTCTCACAACCTCATCAGACACAAGGTGGCCATTTGCAACATTCACACTTGCTTCAAGCAGACAAGAGTTCTTTCTCCCACCTTGGACAGCCCACAGATATATGAACCCCACTTGCCTACTTTTCAACAAACTGCACAACCTCTGAGTATGCCTGCTATAGATTCAGGTGAAATGTCAGGAAAGAATGCTTCTGGAACATGGCCGTACAGCCTGGAAAACTCACAACAACCCAATCCACAAGTGGTTTGGGGGAAAAAAGAGCCATCAACCTGCTTGAGAACGCTTTGTGAAGACCTAAAAGTCTAGAGGCTGTGCCCTTTTTTTCCTGACTCATCGACAGAGTTGCAAACACCGGCAGGAAAAAGAAAAAAGAAGGAAAAAATCATAAAGTAGCCAAAATAATCCAGAGCCTGGACAGCATTCTTTCCTAACTTCCAATCCAGATCAGCTCCATTGCAAAGACAATTTGTTGCAGGGAAAAGCAAAAGAGAGCAAAAGAAGATCCAAGGGCTGCAAAGAGATCTATCTACCTGGGACTCTGTCTGAGATCCCGGAGAGGGAAGCTGCTGCCTGTTGAAAAACCCACTTTAAACAGAAGATAGGATGTCTCCCCAACTTCTGCCACACCTTCAAAAAAAACAACAACACAACACCAGACAGTCAAATACTACCCTGATCCTGGTGGGGAGAGGAAAGATTCAGAAAGGCTACTTTTGTCTTGGGTGCTGATGCTTTCAGAAAGTTTGAAGGCTGAAAAAGGAAGGATAACAAAGCGCCCCGCTGCTTACCTGTCGGTGGATTGTTTTTAAAAGCTAGGCAGTGATGAACATTGTGGAAAGGAGAGGGTAAGATCCACGGGGGAAGCGAAGCATGCCCCAAGCTGCTGCCGGCTGCCGCTGCGAATGAAAGCCCTGAGAACGCGCCTGCCTGGCTTTTGAGGGCGACCCATGTGATTTATGATTCCGCTCTCTTTTTTTTCCTGCCGGCTCGCCTGGCCCCGCCCCCCGGGGCCTCCCTGGGCCAATGGGAGCCGAGGGGGCTGGCTCGAGGACGCCGGGGCTCCCGTCGCGCGGCCTCGGACCCGGGACTCAGTCTGCGCGAGGGAAGCCACGAGGACGGGACGGGCAAGAAGCTGCATGCACAGGAAGCGGGGCTGGGGGCGCCTCTCCTGGACCTTCTCTCCATTGCGGAGGTCGGCGACAGACAGCTCTTCCAAAGCCAAGGGGATTGCTCTTTTCTTCTCTCTCTCTCCCTCCCTCCTTCCCTCTCTCTTTCCCCCCTTCCCCCTTCAAAACGCGTTGTCTCTGGCTCTGCAAACCGTGAGCTAACCGCAGCCTTGGATTGATCCAAGGTAGAGAGGGGAGGGGAGGGGGTTTCTCTCCTGGCAGGACTGGATATCCCTTGCGGGACGCCAGGCTTCGCTGCTTCTGGAAATGGGTTGTTTGTTGTGAGTATTCCGGGCTGTTTGGCTATGCTCCAGAAGCATCTTCTCCCGACGTTTCGCCTACATTTATGCCAGGCACTCTCAGAAGTTGTGAGGTCTGTTGGAAACTAGGCAGGTGGGGTTTATATATCTGGAATGTCCAGGGTGGGAGAAAGAGGCAAGTGTAAATGCTGCAATTGGCCACCTTGATTAGTACTGAATGGCCTTGTAGCTTTTCTTTCTTTGTGACATGGTAGATGCCAGAGTGGTCCAGGATTTTATATTTTCTCAAATAATATGCTGTGTCCAGGTTAGACATCCCACAGATATGTAAACCCAATTTTCCTAGTTTCCAACAAACCTCACAACCTCTGAGGATGCCTGCCATAGATGTCAGGAATGTCAGGAGAGAATGCTTCTGTAACATGACTATATAGCCCAGAAAACCCACAACAACCCAGTGATTCCAGCCGTGAAAGCCTTTGGCAATACTTCTGGCAGGGAGGAGGAAGAGGAGGTTTGGGCCAGCCTGGCAATAGAAGGGAGATGGGTTGAGTGCTGTGTGGTTTCCAAGCTGTTCTAGCATCTGAGATCTTTTGAAGATGACAGCCACAGATGCAGGTGAAATGTCAGGAGAGAATGCTGCCAGAACAACACCATACAGCCTGCAAATCACACAACATCCCAGGGATTCTGGCTGTGAATACACAGAAGGAAGATCCCTTCATCTCCCTGACCAGGAGAAAGGTTTTTGTAGACCTGCTTGGTCTGTGCCTAAAGATTATAATGAGCTTGGCTGGGATCTCAAAGACTGTGGAGAAATGAAAGGTTACAAGCCTTTCCTAGGGTGCATGGAGCCCCTGGTGGTACAACGAGTTAAATCTTTGTGCCGGCAGGACGGAAGACCAACAGGTCAGAGGTTCAAATCCGGGGAGAGTATGGGTGAGCTCCCTCTGTCAGCTCCAGCCTCCCATGCAAGGGCATGAAAGTAGCCTTCCACAAGGATGGTGAAACATCAAAATATTGCGGTGCTGTGGGGTCATAGGGGTTGATGTTTTGCAAGATTTTTTTTTTGCCTTCTCTGCCAAAGAGTGCAGGCGCCTCACCAAATTACAACTCTCAGGAATCCATAGTATTGAGCCATGGCAGTTAAAATGCATTCATTCTTCTGTGTAGTTGTGCCTTAAACTGAAGTTTTTTAAGTCATAAAAGGGAGAAGGGTGAGGATGATAGGGAGCAGAGTGGTATTTCTACCTGTTGCAGAGGCTTAGCTTCCATGCCTTTTTCTCTTTCTGGGGGCCACAGATATAGCCAGCAGTTTGCTCTTTGCCCATTCCTGAGCACAGAAACTCTTTTCAGGAAAATTGTGACTTCCTTAAGTAAGCTGAGGGCAGGGGGAGAGAAGGATGTAAGTGAAAAGGAGTGGAGGCTGGACTGAGAGAGTATAGGGCAGTGGTTCTCAACCTGTGGGTCCACAGACGTTTTGGCCTTCAACTCACAGAAATCATAACAACTGGTAAACTGTCTGGTATTTCTGAGAGTTGTAGGCCAAAACACCTGGGGACCCACAGGTTGAGAACCACTGATATAGGGACAGGCTGGTGCAAAAGAACATTTGGAAGCAAGATGAGCTAAGGCAGGAGCCCCTAGTGGCGCAATGGGTTAAACTCTTGTGCTGGCTGAACTGCTGACCTGAAGGTCTGTGGTTCGAATCCTCAAGTTCCCATCTGTCAACTCTGGGGGGACATGAGAGAAGCCTCCCACAGGATGGTAAAACATCTAGGCATCCCCTGGGCAATGTCCTTACAGACGGACAATTCTTTCTCACCAGAAGTGATTTGCGGTTTCTCAAGTCACTCCTGACATGAAAAAAAGGGGAGGGGCAGGTTTGAAGGAATGTCTTGTGGGTCGTGGATAGAGAGAATGGAATTGGTGAAAAAAATTGAAAGTGAAAATCTGTCATGTAGGCAGAGGAAGAGTGACTTTGTAGAGCAGTTGCATTGTGGAGCTGGTTTCAAAAATGAAAGCTGTTATTAATCTCGATGTAAGTATCAGAATGCCATCTCATGGGAAGAATGGAAATGCTGGATCATAGTTAAATTCTAAAAATTTGCCAGTTTTATCGTCTAGATTCCTAAAAGCACTGAGTCCCTTCGGAGAGAGAAGATGGGTTATAAATAAAGTATTATTGTTATTATTATTACTACTACTATAATAAAATAATCAGACCAGGCTCTAAAGGACTTTTCTTTTATTTCAGGGACCCTGGTTTTCGTCCTGTGAAGTGATGTCAGACACCAGCAAATAAATCATTCTTTCACCAGAAATGTTGTAATAAAGGGCTGTGAAAGATGTGAATCTTGTTCCTGGCAAGAAAAACACAAAGAAAGATTTCCACAGGAAAACCAGTATTTTCTTATAGCTATTGTCGTAAAAAGGTTGGAAGTACGTAGAGTGTGTCTGTGTTGGTTTTTAAGTTGCCTGTCAAGTATGACAGCAACATAAATTAAATAAGAACCAGGTGGTTTGAATGTTGGATTCTGCTTCTGGAAACCAGGATTCAAATTTTCATTCAGCCAAGAAAACCCACTGGGCGACATTGTGCAGGACACAGTCTCTCAGCCTCAGAGAAAGGCAAAGACACCCTTCCTCTGAACAAATCTTGCCAAAAACAACTCATGATGGGTTCATTTTCTGTCTCCATAAGTCAGAAATGCCCTGAACACATGCAACAACAATGGCAGCATGGATGTCATAAAGTTTTCTTAGGCAAGGAACACTAAGAGGTGAATATACCAGCATTTTCCTCTGAAATAAAGCCCCTGACACTCATTGGCAGTCTCCCATCTAAGTGCTCACATGTGAAAGTTTAACACATCATTTTTGCAGGACAAGTGAATAAAGGAAGTAGTCACTTCCCCCCCCCCCTTTTACTAGAAAATGCAGCAACATTGTACTTGGAAACTTACCAAAGACTTTTCTACAATATAATCCAGGACCCCCCAGTGGCACAGTGGGTGAAACCACTGAGCTGCTGAACTTACTGACCAAAAGGTTGACATTTCAAATGTGGGGAGCAGGGGGAGCTCCTGTTGTTAGCCCCAGCATCTGCCAAGGTAGCAGTTCGAAAACGTGCAAATGTGAGTAAATTAATAGGTACCGCTCCAGCGGGAAGGTAACGGCGCTCCACTCAGTCATGCCAGCCACATGACCTTGGAGACGTCTATGGACAACGCGGGCTCTTCGGCTTAAAAATGGAATTGAGCACCACCACCCAATCAGACACAACCAGACTTAATGTCAAAGGGAAACCTTACCTTTAATGCAATATAATGCAGCATGCTTATAGCTGGTTACTGTTACATTAAGATTTCCCTTCTGCTGTCCTAATCAGATATGCACAATTGTGACATTTTTAACGCTTTGCGATATTTTAAAATGTTTTGAAGATGGATGAAGATGGATGAAACATGCCTTCAAAAAAAAAAGGAATAAAAGGAGAGGGAAAAACATTTCCCACAATAAGAAATGATGATACACTTTCTGTGAACCTGACATTGCTGATGTGTCCAAAATGAAAAATGTTTTCAGGAGACTAGGCACCTCTACATCTGGGCTTGTGAGCAATACAGATTTATTCGATGGTAGGCAGAAAAAGTCATATCATCTGAATAGGACCCATCAACATGGATCCTTTATCTTGAAAGAAGAGATGAGAATCAGCATTGTGGTGGCTGCATGATTCATGAACCTGATTTGGATTAAGACAATTCAATTACATTAACAAAAAGTTGCTTCCTTGCATTTTGGGTGACTGTAAACAGTTCTGTTACTTCCTATTGAGGAAGCCACTTAGTTGTGGCTGTTTACAGTGCCATTCCATTTTCCCCAGGCAGCCCAGGGACAGGATAGCACCTACCTTGCCCCATAGTTTTCAAGTTTGTGGTACACATCAAAGATGGCATTTCATATCCTGGCATCTAGAGTGACAGTATCTGGAATGATAAGGTGATTGGAGAAGGAAAGGAGGAAGGGAGGGGGCAATTCTTTCATCCCCGTTCTCTCTTGCATCACTGCCAATCTGGGTATCATTGTTACAGATGTCAAGCACTGTTGAGTAGGTTTTTCATGCATTGCACAAAACAACAGGTTCATAATAAGGATGGTGGTCCAATGGTAATGAACATGTTCTTCACTGCTGCACCACCCATGCACCAGGCTGGCTCAGGGATATGCAGTGCCTGAACCAACTCCATGGCTAGCTATGTGGATTAAAATGATGCTGATGCAGAGTATCCCACTCCAGTCTTAGTAATGAATCCATAATTAATTAATGACTCCTGACCCAACCCACCCCCCACCTACTTCCCCAGCCAGTAGACATGATAAGAACTGGAGGGTTCATCAGTTGCCAATCCAAGGCCAGAAAGATGGCATTTCCACCCCACTTCAGCCAGGAAACAAGCTGCAAACAAGAAATAATGGTCTGTTTCTGATTCTTGCAACCTTGCTCACTGATGTTTTATGTGTGTGTGTAAACATTGTCATTATGCACCCCGCTTGCCTGCTGAACAGACTTCTATCACATGTGTCTGCTGTTGTAATTTAAGTGTGAAATGACATTTAGAACTGTGACAATAGTGCCACAAGTGTGATTATATAATAGGCATCAGGTCCCATCTGATCTTGAAAATTAAGTAAGGTTAGCCTTGGTCAGTACCTGGATGGGAGACTACAAATAGCTAGCAGATGCTGTTGGCTATATTTCAAAGCAAGGATCTGGCAAAACCATATCTGAATCTTATATGCCCCCCCCCCCAAAAAAAACCAATTAAAATAATGGGGTGAACATAAGGTACAAACACAATGTTAGTGAATGCAGACCAGCATGGTGTAGTACTTGAATATTGCACTAAGGAGACAAGCTCCAAATACCTACTCAGCTATGCAAACCCACTAGATGAGCTTTTGCAAGTAATGTTCTTTATACCTGAGTAAGGTAAAGGAGACCCCCATCTGAACAAATTCCGTCACCCCCCCCCCCCCATGATCAATTTGCCTTATAGTCTGAAGTGATGTGAAGACACAGAACAACAAGAGCAGTTACAGCAGTGGTTCTCAACCTTGCTAATGCTGTGAACCCTTAATGCAGTTCCATATGTTGTGGTGACCCCCAACCATATTATTGTTTTTGTTGCTATTTCGTAATGTAAATATCCAATATGCAGGATGTATTTTCATTCACTGGTCTAAATTGAGCACAAATACCCAATGCACCCACATGTGAATGCTAGTGGGGTTGGGGGAGGATTGATTTTGTAATTTGGGAGTTGTAGTTGCTGGGATTTATAGTTCACCTATAATCAAAGAGCATTCTAAACTCCACCAGCAATGGATTTAAACTGAACTTGGCACACAGAACTCCCATGACCAACAGAAAACACTGGAAGGGTTTGGTGGGCATTGACCTTGAGTTTGGGAGTTGTAGTTCACCTATATCCAGATGAGTGCTGTGGATTCATGCAATGATGGATCTGGACCAAACTTGGCACGAATACTCAGCATGCCCAAATGTGAACATTGGTGGAGTTTGGGGAAAATGGAGCTTGACATTTGGGAATTGTAATTGCAGGGGTTTATAGTTCACCTACAATCAAAGAGCATTCTGAACCCCATCAACGATAGAATTGGGCCAAACTTCCCACACAGAATCCCAATGACCAACAGAAAATACTGTTTTCTGGTGGTCTTTGGTGACCCCTTTGATACTCCCTAACGACCCCCTCAGGGGTCCCGACCCCCAGGTTGAGAAACACTGAGTTACAGAGCCATAACTCTAGGTTACAAATCCATAAGTGCAATACAGAATATGTATTGTCGAGGGCTTTCATGGCCAGAATCACTGGGTTGTTGTAGGTTTTTCGGGTTGTATGGCCATGTTCTAGAAGCATTTTCTCCTAGATACAGACTGGCACTACAGAATGCCAGTCTGTATTTGCACAATTTCATAACCATTGGCTTTGAATAAAGAAGGACTTTAAAAGGTTACACACATCTAATGGATGTTCTAAACTTTTATATTCTCAAATTATGTGTACAAAAAGGTATCCTGGTTCAGAGTATTGTGCTCTGTATGTGTGAGAGAGTGGTTTGCAAGCACAGGAGAGGTTGCACAAGCACATAAGAGACAGGAGTGACTTCCAAGCATGTGTTAATTGCAACTGGCCGAAAGACAATGTGCAGTTGTTCTGTCTCTTCCTTCCTTCATATAAGTACCTTTCTGTTGTAAGACAAAAGATGGAAAATGCTGTGAGAAAATTAATGGGCTATCTAATTGAAGGCTATTGATGGATCATTTGGATCCCCCTACCTGGTGAAATGTTATGAATGATGAAGCAGGATTGTACAATGTAGAAATAAAAAAACCCTCAGGAACCACCTTTAGTCTACATGCAAATATTCTGACTCACTGCTGTAAATTCTGCTTTAATAAATAAATATGAGGAAAACATGACATAAATTACACAGTATGTTGTCCATGAAATCAAAATGCAATGAGAAATATCTTTCATATATAGTGACAACATATGGATTCCATAATCAGATTGGCACAATTTTTGAACAGGAGGCACATCAAACTCCTGTGCTCCAAATGCAAAAGGCTTAGAATCATAGCTGTCTTGCAATTGTCTGAGGATGTAGGAAGTGAATGTTTGGCAAAATTGGTTATCTCTTTGGAACTAAGCATTCAAAGTTGAAGCTAGTTAGGTGCACTAGCCTTAAATGTACTAGACTTTGAATGTATACTTTAACTCCTTTGTCTACAGATTCGATATCCTTGTTTTTATTTACCCCTTCTGCGCGCTCTCTCTCTCTCTCTCTCTCTCTCTCTATATATATATATATATATACATACACACACACACACACACGCACGCACACTATATTCCAGAAATGTTTGTGGGCTTCTCTAGATCTGATTTAGGCATAGTTAAAATACAGGGTTCTCTATTATCCATGGTTTCAGGTATCCATGTGAAGAATTCGAGAGTGATCATGGAATCTACCCCCACAGAACTGGGGGTCATACAATATGTCTGACTTTGACCTGGGGCAATCAGAGCTTTAGAGGATGTTTTAATTCTGTTAATAATTTTGTTGGATTGCTGTGAGTTTTTTGGCCTGCATGGCCATTTACAGTAGCATTCTCTCTTGACATTTCACTTGCATCTGTGGCTGGCTTTTTGAACTCACCAGCCACAGATGCAGGCAAAACATCAGGAGAGAATGCTACTGGAACATGGTCATGCATCCCAAAAAACTCACAGCAACTTAGTGGTGCCTGCCATGAAAGCCTTCTACACAACAATGATTTTGTTGTATAAGACCTTCAAAACCCTCAGTTCAC